TTCACTTTGAATTAATGCAAAAACAACAACAAATAAACTTACAGAGTTTACGTGAAAAGACGTACAAGTATTTACTACTAACTTTCGCCTGCGACTTCGTCTGCGTGGAATTAAAAAAAAACGAAAGTGAGTGCCTATGTGTTCTTCCAGACTATCCTCTACATCTGTACCAAATTTCATCGAAATCCGTTCAGCCGTTTAAGCTACAAACTCTAACAAACATCCATCAATCCATCTAAACTTTCGCATTAATAATATTAGTATGATTACTAAATAATAATAGCATTTACATTATTCACAAACAAACGGGTTATTCAAAGGAGTACTCAAGTAAACGCGAGACACGGGCGCGGCTAGTCCGTTGACCCTGGAAGCACTTTCCCTATCCCGGAGTAACCTTACCCATTCGGACGTAAAGCCTTTTACGACTAATTGGTAGACCGGACCCGATACCGTCTAGACGCGTCAAACCCTTACGACGTCTTTCAAACCGGAAGGACGTAAAACTGAAGTTAATTTTATGGATGACAGTGAAATGAAGAGAAAACTTACTTAGATATTTGTATATTTTAAATGGAATTCTTGTGAGAAATTGACTTATCTACACTGTTTGAATTTGTTCTTGCTTTAATGTGAAACTTGTACAGTAGAACCTTGATAAGTTAAAGTCCAAGGGAAACACAAAATATTTTAAGTTATAGAGGTTTTAGGTTATCAAGGGTCTATGTTATAGAGGTCTTGGGCTCTGATGGGAAGAAAACATATTATTTTTTGAAGTTATCGAGGTTCTAATGTAATTGTAATTCAGGATTTTGTAATCCAATGGTAAGTTCTATTTTAACTTAAGCAACTATTTGCTATCATCTTTGACGTGCCGTACGACGTGAGTTAGTTGCGATTTTAATACAATTTCCGACACATTGTATTGTCCGCAGGCGGCAAGCGGACGTCGCAACTCATAACGCACGGCATTGTAAAGCAAATGAGCCAAGCCACTCTATGTTACAGTGAAGGAAGTTTATTTCCTACCCATTTATGATGGTATTTAACGCTAATAAGTATCAGAAATACAATTAGGCGCTGCTTCAGTCTATGTGTATTCTAATCTAATTCTTTGTGGAAGTTGTATAAAGTTTCGAATAGTTAGTACGTACGAAAACTGGCCATGAGTCGATAGGGTTAAGAGGAACAGTGCCCTCCTCCCGCCTAGAGAATTAGGTAGATATAAAAAAGCCAATATTAATAGTATTTGTCCTATACTTAGCCTAGATTATTGGCTGGCGACACCTATGCCTACAAACTTAATCAATACGTATTTCCCAACTGTCGTATAATCGATGTAATGAAACCGTACGAACATTGATATATGTTATCGTCAGGCTTCCTAAACAGTAACGTGATACGAGTTTAGTAACAAGACTAATGTAAAGACAGTCCAATCGACTTTTTGCGTTTTCAGTTTGTGGTAGCTGCTTTCTCTGATATTGACATTGACCATTTGAATAATTCATCTATACTAGTATTATGAAGAGGAAACATTTGGGTTTTTGGAATTTTGTATATATTTGATTCACGTAAAAACTACTGAGCCGATTTTAAAAATTCTTCCACCAAAAGCTACGTTATCAGTGAGTAACATAGGCTATATATTTTTGACCGACTTCCCAAAAGAAGGAGGTACTCAATTCGTCTGTATGTTTCTTTTAATTTTATATTTTTATGTGTGTTACGGTATAACTCCGCCGCTAGTGGACCGATTTTGATAATTCTTTTTTTATCCGAAAGGTAATGCTTGCAGGTGGGTCCCATTTTCTTGTTTGATTTTTTATTATTACGCAGGCGAAGCCGCGAGCAACATCTAGTTTATTAATTCGTTACTATAATTTATGAGGAAATTAATAATTTTTAGGTGCGTAATAAATGTGTTTTTGTAAAATTATTGCGTCAATGGTTTTTGGTTTTTACAGTAATTGGCTTATATCTGACACTAAATAGTCATGGCTGAATTCATGCGGAAAGTATTTGTTCAGCCGCGTTGAGCGTCGGTAGCTTAGTGGTTTAAGCACTTGACTTGTAATCTACAAGTCTTGGCTTCGAATCCCGCTATGTACCAATGTGATTTTCGATTTTTCGAATTTTCATATGTACATAATTTACCCGACGTTCATACGGTGATGGAAAACATCGTGATGCAACCTGCGCATATCGGCGAAGAAATTCAAAGATATGTGTGAAGTCGACCAACCCGCACTGGGCCAGCGTGGTTGACTATGGCCTTATCACCCTAATTTAGGGTAGGCTCCAAGCCCTTCGGTGGGGACATATAGTGAGACGGTGGTGGTGGTGTTGGTGGTGTAGCATAACAATTTTAGTTATTACAGTAGACCCTCGATAACTAAACCTCTATAACTTTAAAAAATATGTTCCCTCCCCATCAGAGCCCAAAACCTCTATAACATGTACCCTTGATAACTTAAAACCTCTATAACTTAAAATATTTTGTGTTTCCCTTGGACTTTAACTTATCGAGGTTCTACTGTATTTTATTTTAAACGAATTAATAACATTTAAGATGATAAGTCAACGATTTAGGAACATATAAAAGAACACAAAGCATTGAAGGTTACCAATTTTTGACAGGAACAGCCAGCACGCAACTGCAATTTTACGGAACTATCACTTGTTTCGAAATACAAGACGCTTTTACTATTATATTACTTGTAAATAAACTAATGTAGTGAGTGATGTTTGCTTGCGGTTGCATGCCAGTTATCTGCTGAATACATCTTCGATTCATGTCGACGCAAAAACTACTGGAAGTCCTGTTTGCGTCGCAGTTTCTACAACGGAATGTTGCATTTTACCTATTATACATAAACTAACGATTATTTTTTACTCTTCCATAAATATTCGATAAACGATGTATATGTATACAATAGTACTGAATATCTCCTTTCTTTTGTCTTCCCGCTGTATAGTGAAACGACATTTTTGTAACAGCGGCCATAAGGCCATGTTTAAACTCCAAATTCCATTAAAATATTGACGTCTGTCAGATTGTAAGTAGCGCATATATTAAGCGTTATTAAGCAGTCTTTAATTTTTGTTTTGGAATTTGACCGTTTGTCTGTTTTTAATATCATCATACTGAAATTCAAACCGTGGCGACACCACTAACTTCACAATATACTATTGAACTACATATATATCCATGGTAAATTGTAAACATCTTAAATAAAACTAATTAAACAACATAAGTAGTTAAGTATTCGACAGTCAACACTAACTTTCGAGCGACGTTAACATTATTTAGTCAAATGACTGCGCATCTCTACCGTTTCTAAAGAAAGTATGTTCAATTTCTGAGACAGAGGATCACTTTAGTATGCACATGAATACAGTCAATAGGTGTAATTAGAAATGATAAAAATTCGGTCCAGGACAGACTGTTTCTATCATCATCATCTCCCCTGCTTTATCCTACTCCCGTAGGGTCGGCGCGCCGGGCTTTCGACCTTCGAATAACTCTATCAACCATCATCTCAGTCATCACTCCCTTCTTGATCATGTCACCTTTCACGCAATCCATCCATTTTTTTCTAGGTCTACTTCTACCGGTGTACCCCTCCACACTAACGTCCGTCCCATACAGACTGTTTCTGTCATCTAACGTCAAAACCCTTCATTTTAAACACTATTTACAACACATCTTTTTTTCAGGTCTATGACGAAAATAGTAGCGAGAACATATCAGTCATCGACAAAATTCGAAGGAGATTAGTTGGTAGATGCGGCCGCTAGAGGCGCTGCACAAATCTATTTCAAATGTGGATGACGTTAGGAAAATTTTCTTACAAATTCGCGATAATCCCTTAATTCAATTTTTCAAAACACGTATCTAATTTACTTTCTTCCAGAAAAGATATAATAGAAAGGTTTTGTCTTCCGGTTAATAATAATTGTATTGTTATTGTTACTTCCATTATGCATTTTAAATTGGACAATAGACATAATAAAATAAATGCGATTTAAATATTTACATTCAGCATTACTGGGTTTCGACTGCACTGGCATGACATTTGTACTGCCACTTATTGTCATCTTTTTTATTATTATGAAATGAACAGGGACAACAATATTATGTTAACACCAATGACTGCTGTCACAGCCAGATAACAATGCTGGGGTCTGGTGTGTTAAAGTATAGGTAACGTAATCGACTAAAGTTTGTGCAGCGCCCCTTTCGAGCGAAAAGTACAGCGCCAAATCTCATATTTTTGACAATTTGAGATTATTCCTAATCTCGCAATATTTCGTATTACGCCCCCAGGAACACGTAACTTAGTGTTTTAGAATTATGTGTACAAATACTGAAGTCCGTACTACGATGGCACCGAAACCTTTGTTATTGTCCATTATTCAGACAAGCCATTGTATCGGCGCGAGGTCGCCTGTGGATTTCGTTGGCAAAACATTGCATTGTGGTTTACTACCATTGTGACTTCGACTATCTGAGTGTTTGATGATGTTTCTATAATTTTCAAACGTATGAATATTTACAACACATTGAATTACAAAGCCTCCAGAAACCGTCCTAACCTATATTCAATATTAAAGACTTCTAAAAAATTTATCTAGGAACTTCGTGGTTTTATTGCAAACAGTCACACAAGCTAAGGGAATAAAGCCCTTTTGTACCATACTGCTTCAAAGATATATTTTTAATAGAGCATTTAATAAACTAAAGCAATTCTCAAGATATTAAGTACTGTAGGTTCCATCAGAAATAAATACCCAAATGAATCAATACAAAACACTAATAGACTTCATGGAACCGCACGTCTGGAACCAGTCAGCTTTTGTTGTTGCTTATTGTTTCCAAGCTAACGACCCTATAATCGGATGAAGGCGGATTGTTAAAGAATTGACGCAGGTAGGCTAGGTGGTGGCTCACCCAGTTACCACTAGGTCACGTGACGTCGGGCAGTCGGACTCGGACCATTCGAAACGCTGCCATCGCCGTGGATGGACGTCTGTGTGTTCCTCGTTAGCTCCCCCGCTGAGACAAGCGTGGATTCAACTAATAATAACATTGTGATGTGAATTAACGGTACAGTTTGACGCAAAATAGTTTTATCAGTGTTGTGTTGTGTTCATTGGATTTTACCCAACCTCAATCAAAGGTACAGTCATTTTATGTTTTATGTCAAGAAGTTATGGTTAAATACATTAACTGTTTTAGTTTGAAATATTTAACAAGATTGTAATGAAATAGTTAAACAATTATGATTGGAATCACATAAATATTACAAACAATGAAGATAATGGGTTTCTTCGGAATGTAGATTGACTTAATTGTTGTTTAGTATGATATTATAAAAATACATCTGTACAACACATGATCGGTTCGATTTGTAACAAAGAAATTTTACAATCTGTATTTTTACTTTGAAAACAACAACGTCGAAAAAAATCCATTTAAATATCCAAACTTTTTGTTCTTTCGTCATAGTCTATACGAATATGGATACGCCTGATAACTCAACGAATTATGACGAACAAATTATTTTAATTGAGGTCTTAATATTGGTAAATTACCACCTAATTTATTTTTCCTCGCATTGATTAATTTGTCATGTTGTCCTTATATTGTTTTAAATTAACAATTGTCAATAGCCCATTAATATTAATAAATCAGACATAATTCGTTCGTTAATTAATGTGTTCCTTATCTATATGATGATAACATTATTTAAGGCTTTACTTCGAGATAATTCAAACGGTAGACGTCCGAATTTTACTATTTATCCACATTGTAGATGTCACTATTGTTGTAATGTTCATTGTTTATTCTGCAATCGCTAATATTTCGAATAAAATTCTAGTTTCTATTTATGTTTTTTTTTTATTTCGATAATATTGTGAGAAATAATGTAAATCGAAATAATCCTATAATAGACACCAACGGTTAATCTTTCAGGAAACTTTACAAAGAAACGGCAACTGTTTCAAGCAATACTTCTAAGTTAAGCAAGCATTGTTTTGCTTTTTCATACATAATACGGTTTCCGTCCCTTATTGTTTATTTGTTTCTCACGCTTGCTTTCTTCCTTGTTTTTTACAAGACGTGAATCCAAAAAAAACTATAACAATTTCCTAAGTCAGTCTACCTTTAGCATTGTAACAATAAGTAAAAGTTGAATGGGCATTTACGTTTCTATAACTGCATCGCAATGTGGAAAGAGCAAAGTCAGGATATAAACAGAATAAATCACGCCCAAAGGGGTACGCAAAGACCACGGACCACCATTTGGCTCGATCCTGGCACAACTTTCATGTCTTTTGAGTATTTGATCAATCTTCACATATCAGAAAGTATCTAATGTTATTCTGTCTATCAAGATTAGATGTTATTGTCTTAAAAACTAAACAACTTAAGACCATAACACAGGGGTAGGCAATAACTTTCAAATTGCGTGCTCCTACTACCTCTCTCGCATCTTCCATTATTCACGTTAATTGGCAGAGTCGGTTTTAGCATTACCGACGCCCTGGGCGAGATTACGATAGCAGCGACCCCTGCAATATCTGTTCCTATAGTGCCTCTTTACATGAGGCGCCCTGGGCAGTAGCCCCGACTTGTCCTACCCTAACGCCCGGCTTCTCTCAATGTCGCCCAATTTGTGGTAAGTTTAAGTTTCATACACGTGGTATAGCGTGTGTCAATCGATTATGTGTAACTGATATCGATTATTGTTACGGACAATTACTATCGATGGTGTAATGTTACAGTCGTTTAAAATGTATTAAATAATTGACAGAGCATCGATTTGTTAACCGCAGACTGGTTATGAAACTGGTTCACGTTACATTGCTTAGGCTTAAAATATTTGTAACTGTTGCCGGTGCAAGAGAAAGTCCAGTTTTGTGTGGCCCTTTTTGTTACTTTCAATTGAAATCCCACTTCTTAGTAATATTACTGATGCGAAAGTTTAGATGGATGGATGAGTGTTTGTCTACCACCTAAATATTCAAACGGCTGAACGAAACACTTTGGATACTTACTGATTTTTTTAATTCCACGCGTGAAGTCGCAGTCGTTTTTTGTTTGTGAAATAAGATATCTTTAAAACACCTACTAGCAGGGAGAATCGGTTCTTATTGAGCTAGCTCGCTCTATCCTTCGGCCGCGTCTTCACTTAGCTTAGGTAGAGTCGTGGTCAAGCGCTGCTCTAATTTTGTTAAAAAAAAATAAAAAATACAGTTCTCTTACCTTACCTTTACAACGGTACAAAGTCGGGATTATAATTAGCAAAAAAAATCTACATCTTTTGACTGAAACTTTAAGACATAAATTTTTTTCACCTTTAAATTCTGACGTTTTAATTAATTACACGTGCCTTTATAAGGTCATCGACACAATATTGACTTCTCTAACCTTACATTTTTTCTTTAAATATACAGCTTTAGCCGCTTTATTACATTTTAACTCTATAATATTGTAATGTATACAGTTGTTGTAACATTTTTATTATGTTATAAAAAATATAAAAACGAATGCACACGTGCTCCAGATTCCCACCACTCACAGTTATAGCTATTCTTGTCTCACTGCAGGAGGCTATGCGAATCAAAACGTATTTAGACATCTCTTTTACGTATTTAACATTCGATGTTGAGTTTTGATAATAATTAGCTAAAGCAGTTGAGACACATTACATTTCGGCTCGATATTTGTTGAGTGTAGTCATTATACATCTTGTCAGTCATGTTTTTAGCTAATTCAAGTTAAATATTAACTTATCACACTAAGCAATAGCATATGTCTTAAGAAAGATTAAAATCGGACCCGTATTCAATCATGCGGAACACGCCCCAGTTATGCTCCAATGGACTTCGCAACGCCTTAATAAGATTTGTCAACTTCTGGTGTTTTTCTGACAAATATAAGTCTACCTAGAAATAATTAATCAAGTGTAAAGCACTACAATTTAGGTTATACATAGTGTTGCTTTAATTGGCACTTATAAGTTGGAAAGGTTAACTTTTAAAGTTTTTGTTATTTTGACTAAAAAGAATGGCATATTAACAACTGCATAACAAAATCTATAATTAAAAATAAATAATATCTTAGATACCCAAGCTGCCTGCAACATATATTTTCCTAGTTTTTGCCATGCGTTCGAATTATATTTGTATCCGCGGGCAAACACAACACAGATTGTCTACTAATGCGAGTCCAACGCACCGTGAGAAGATTGACAGCCGTGTGCAACCGTGTGCAATACGGAATGCAAACTTTAGCAGGAGTTTGTAAACCATATGTCGTCCTGCTCACTCCTTTATCAATTTCATTAGTGCGTCTCATTGAAAAACAAGTGCGTGTAGATTAAAAAAAATTGACCGATGTCGATGTTACTAAGGGCGACCTCTAGTGTTCCTATTTAGTTACACTAAGCGATTGGTTAAGCATCCAATTAACGTCTCGGAGTGCGGGAATAAATGTTTATAGGCAGTATTATCGATCTTGTATAAATTTAAGACAGCTAGACTGAATCTGGACTAACGCTTCGTTAACTATGGATTAGTAACAAGTTACTTCATATGGTTTTATAGTTACTTGCGAGCAATTAAGTCGTTCTCGTATGACTGCGACCTTAATAATTGTATTGCACACTCGCTGCAAACAAATACATTTTTACACATACCGACTTACAAACCTTTATGTAACAAACACCATGCAGATGTACATAACATTTTAAAATATTACATAAGAATCTCCTTAGTTTGTGATGACGAAAACTGAGTTAGCAGCTTATTCTAAAATGTTAACTATCTCTGTTCAAACTTGATCCAGATGTATAAAACCTTTTTGGAGGTAGCTGACATCTATACATCCATCGAAAATTCTCCCTTGGGTATATTTTGTAAGATAATTCAGCGGTTGTTACTTCTTAATAGGACATATTTCTCAGCTGCAATGTACTTATTTTATTACTGGAATAAATGTAAACAATTTAATTTTATAACAACAATTCATTGTTCTCGTTTTAATCTGTACCAGTGTTTATTAATGGTCACAGATAATTAATGTTTCCTTCGCAGTATTAATTAAATCAGTTTAAACATAAATTAATGTCGTTGACAATAATAATAATACGCAATAATGTTTTATTAGATTTTTGATAACTTAAATCAGAATGGGTTGTTAGAAACTACAAAATTAGTCTACGTGTTCTTCCAGACTATGCTCTACATATATTGAATTTTATAGAAATCCTTACAACAGTTTAGGCCTTCCAACTAACATTCATCCAAACATAAAAACTTTCGCATTTAAAATAATTTACCCGACGCTCTTACGGTAAAGGAAAACATCCTGATACAACCTACACATATCGGCGAAGAAATTCAAAGATATGTGTGAAGTCAACCAACTTGCAGTGGGCCAGCGTGGTTGACTAGTGCCTACTCACCCTAACTTCTTAGGGTAGGCTCCGAGCCCCTCGGTGGGGACATATAGTTAGCTGGTGATGATGATGAAGTATGATTCGTCATTGACATGTTTCTAACCAACAATTTTCCTGGCAACCTTAATAAAAGATTGGCAACACTAACAACAAAGCATTTCTTGTACATCCATACATCGTATAGACAAATAAACAGTAACCGAGCCACGTAACACTAACGGAAGTTCTCAAAACTGTAAGGGCATTGAACCCAAACACATGGCCTTCGTCCTCATGTTTATTAACTTTCAATCTTTACAAACGTACATTGAATCTAAAGATCCATTGTGTTTTTATTGTATTAACGGATTCCAACGTACTTATGTCCCTTTTTAGTCATGTGTGAGAAAGAGAGAGTAAAAACATTTGAGGAATGACACAGGATGAGAGTTCCGGTGTATGTAGAAATCCCCCTTACAATTCTTTTGCGATGCTGTTTTGTGACGTCATATAGTAGTCGAAAATAAACGTAAGTCAAATTTTTCGCTCTCACGATGTCAGTACCTTGTAAATCTTTATGCGCATTTTAATGACATATTTATTGTCTGTGCGAATTAATATCCACCAACCAAATACGTATGAATAGTTGGTACTTAGCGTGTTCAATGTAACAACAATCGATTGGACAGTGTCGTCGTACCACCTCCCACTTCTTTGTTCCAAATAGAGTTGGC